TTTATAGAAAATTTTCGATAAATTTCCTTTTTTATAGAAAATTTTCGATAAATTTCCTTTTTTATAGAAAATTTTCGATAAATTTCGTTTTTATAGAAAATTTTCGACTTATAGAAAATTTTCGATAAATTTCCTTTTTTAAAGAAAATTTTCGATAAATTTCCTTTTTAGAAAATTTTCAATAAATTTCCTTTTTTATAGAAAATTTTCAATAAATTTCCTTTTTAATAGAAAATTTTCAATAAATTTTCTTTTTATAGAAAATTTTCAATAAATTTTCTTTTTATAGAAAATTTTCAATAAATTTTCTTTTTAGAGAAATTTTCAATAAATTTTCTTTTTATAGGAAATTTTCGACAAATTTTCTTTTTATAGGAAATTTTCGACAAATTTTCTATTTATAGAAAATTTTCGATAAATTTTCTATTTATAGAAAATTTTCGATAAATTTTCTATTTATAGAAAATTTTCGATAAATTTTCTATAAATAGAAAATTTGTCGAAAATTTCCTATAAAAAGAAAATTTGTCGAAAATTTCCTATAGAAAGAAAATTTATTGAAAATTTTCTATAAAAAGAAAATTTATTGAAAATTTTCTATAAAAAGAAAATTTATTGAAAATTTTCTATAAAAGAAAATTTATTGAAAATTTTCTATTAAAAAGGAAATTTATTGAAAATTTTCTATAAAAAAGGAAATTTATTGAAAATTTTCTATAAAAAAGGAAATTTATTGAAAATTTTCTATAAAAAAGGAAATTTATCGAAAATTTTCTTTAAAAAGGAAATTTATCGAAAATTTTCTATAAGTCGAAAATTTTCTATAAAAACGAAATTTATCGAAAATTTTCTATAAAAAAGGAAATTTATCGAAAATTTTCTATAAAAAAGGAAATTTATCGAAAATTTTCTATAAAAAAGGAAATTTATCGAAAATTTTCTATAAAAAAGGAAATTTATCGAAAATTTTCTATAAAAAAGGAAATTTATCGGAAAATTTTCTATAAATAGAAAATTTATATCGAAAATTTTCTATAAAAAAGGAAAGTTTATCGAAAATTTTCTATAAATAGAAAATTTATCGAAAATTTTCTATAAAAAAGGAAATTTATCGAAAATTTTCTATAAATAGAAAATTTATCGAAAATTTTCTATAATAGAAAATTTATCGAAAATTTTCTATAAATAGAAAATTTATCGAAAATTTTCTATAAATAGAAAATTTATCGAAAATTTCTATAAATAGAAAATTTATCGAAAATTTTCTATAAATAGAAAATTTATCGAAAATTTCCTATAAATAGAAAATTTATCGAAAATTTCCTGCTTTTATGGAAAATTTTCGATAAATCTGCTTTTTATGGACAATTTTCGATAAATCTGCTTTTTATGGAAAATTTTCGATAAATCTCCTCTAAAATTTTCGATAAATCTCCTCTAAAATTTTCGATAAATCTCCTTATATAGAAAATTTTCGACAAATCTGCTTTTTATAGGAAATTTTCGATAAATCTCTGTTTTATAGAACAAAATTTACGATAAATTCCCAATTTCCACCGTTTGTTTATCTCTGTCTCAGTTATTTTCGTTCAACTCTTTTTCCCTTTAACATATGATTATGCTGTTAATATATCAAAACTACAACATATTTACGCTTGGGAACAAGTATCAAACAAAATCTAAAGCCATTCATTTCGTCAGTCAGCCAAACAGCCAACAACCAGCCAGTTAGGCAGCTAGTGGTGAGGCAGCAGCAAGCAGTCTCCAGATTTCAATGCAAAAGTGCGCGCCGCCGCATTGAATCAAACTTAATCTTCTTTGTCGCTATACAATTTCGAACAGTGAAAGTTGAATAAAAATTCATGTGTTCACTCTGTTCATTTCATTCATATGTGTTTATCATCATCATCACAACAACCTGAAGAAAAATAGCACCACAATAGCTTTTGGAAAACAACAACAACAGCCACAAAACCTCAATGGCATTTCACACTTTTTTTTTGTTGCTGCTACTTGTAGTTGTTGTAAATTGAATTCGTACGGAGGAAGGCTGTGACCAAATAAATGTTGTTCAGCTTTTTAACAAAATTAAAGAAAAAAAATCAAATTAATTAACACCAAACCCAAATCCAAAAAACTCTTTAAAATCCAGCGACAAGTTAACGACTTATTTATTTGTTTCTTTTTTTAAAGTTTGTCTTGTTGTTGTTGTTTTTTACTCTCCCTCTCGGCTGGCTGTCGATCTTAGACGATTGCAGCAGATGAACATTTTTTCCACTTTATTACAAGTCATAAAATATTAATTAATATACGAGGGAAGTAATGAAAAGTGCTTTCCTCAACAATAGTTAACTATTTAAGCTCCAAAGCCGTAAAATAAAAACTGTTTTTTCTATAGGTTCTTTGCAGACTGAACTCGTATTTAAAATAATATGCGTTTACATTTATATAAGTTTACAGGTAGTTAGTTATAGTATTTAATAAATTTTGTAGCTTTTCTTTTTGGGGTCCAATAAACCATAAATATGTGTCGATTTTTTACCACTTTACTATACCCCCTATTGTTGTTGCTTTAAGCCACTAACAATAATTCAAAATACAAATTAAAACTCAAAATTATTTTAATGCACTTTAAATGAAAGTTGAAAATGAAATTGACAAGTGTCTTTTTAAAGGCGTCAACATGGCTGTCATATATTTTTGTTTAAAATAAAAAAAAAACGTTTATGTTTTTAAACAAAATTCCTTAGAAAATGCATTTGTTTTACTTTCTTATTACATCTATTAATTTGTAATTACTTTTGGTTTTTTTTAAATCAATTGTGGTTTTGTGGCCTAACGTTACAATTGTGCTTGGTTTCCCTACTCAAATCAAAACAACAACCGAAAACCATGTTCTACAAGTTCAATTACCCTCCCATTCTCTTATTTAACAATTGTACATAAAACATTTTTTTATTTATGTTTTAAATTTTATTATTATGTTTTTAACTTCTTTATAAATGATAGCGATAGTGGTATTTAACAATAACAAATTATGTATGTTATACCCTTATTCGAGCAAACACAGTTCAAGGAAAACTTGTTATTATTGTTATTGTTTTTTTGATATTTCATGTTTAGACCTCAAAGTGGAACTGGTGATATTTTGTTTTGTGCTTTAATAAAGAGCAAAAGCCTTAAGATAATTATTTTTTTTATTTAACAATTTATCTAAAAGCTAAAATTTTCTATAAAAAGAAACTTAACGAAACTTTTCTATAAAAAGAAACTTAACGAAACTTTTCTATAAAAAGAAAACTTAACGAACGTTTACTAATAAAAGAAAACATAACAAAAATGTTCTATAAAAAGAAAAATTAACGAAAATGTTCGTAAAAAGAAAACATAACATACGTTTTCTATTAAAAGAAAACTTAACGAAAATTGTATATGAAGAAAATTTGCTTTACGAAAAATCTTACCGAAAGTTTTTTTTATAAAAAAAAAACTTAACAAAAGCTTCTATAATAAGAAAAATTAAAGAGTAAAAAAAACTTAACGAAAAATTTATATAAAAAGAAAAATTAACGAAAATGTTCGATTAAAAGAAAACATAATGTACGTTTTCTATTAAAAGAAAACTTAACGAAAGTTTTATATGAAGAAAATTTGCTTTGCGAAAAAAACTTAACGAAAGTTCTTTTTTATAAAAAGAAAACTTAACAAAAGCTTTCTATAATAAGAAAAATTAAAGAGTAAAAAAATCTTAACGAAAAATTTATATAAAAAGAAAAATTAACGAAAATGTTCGATAAAAAGAAAACATAATGTACGTTTTCTATTAAAAGAAAACTTAACGAAAGTTTTATATAAAGAAAATTTGCTTTGCGAAAAAAACTTTTCGAAAGTTCTTTTTTTATAAAAAGAAAACTTAACAAAAGCTTTCTATAATAAGAAAAATTAAAGAGTAAAAAAATCTTAACGAATAAATTCTATAAAGAGAAATTTTAAAAAAATTTGCTATTAAAGGAAACTTAATGAAAGTTTTCTTTAAAAAAATTATCAAAAATTTTCTATAAAAGGAAACCTAACGAAAATTTGCTATAAAAAGAAAACATAAAGAAAGTTTTCTATATAAAGAAAGCCTAACAAGCCTTTCTATAATAAGAAAAATTAAAGAGTAAAAAAATCTTAACGAAAAATTTCTATAAAAAGAAATTTTAAAAAAATTTGCTATTAAAGGAAACTTAATGAAAGTTTTCTTTAAAAAAAAATTATCAAAAATTTTCTATAAAAGGAAACCTAACGAAAATTTGCTATAAAAAGAAAACATAAAGAAAGTTTTCTATATAAAGAAAGCCTAACAAAATATTTCAATAAAAGCAAAATTTGACGAAAGTTTTCTATCAAAGGAAGTTTTCAATAAAAGAAAAGTTTAAAGAATGTTAAAAAGTTAAAGAGAGAACTTAACGAACATTTTCTATAAATAAGAAACTTAACGAAAAATTTTTATAAAAAGAAAATCTAAATAAAAATTTCTATGAAAAGAAAACTTGACAAAAGTTTTCAATAAAAAGAAAACTTGACGATAGTTTTTTATAAAAGGTAAACTTGACGATAATTTTTTATAAAAGGTAAACTTGATGAAAGCCTTCCATGAAAAGAAAACGGAGAAATTTTTCTTAAAAAAAAACTAAACGAATGATATTTTTTTAAAAAAATGAAACTTAACGAATGATATTTTTTTAAAAAAATGAAACTTAACGAAAGATTTCTATAAAAAGGAAAATTAAATAAAGTTTTCTGTAAAGATTTGAAGAACGAAATCTTTCTATAAAAGAAAAACTTGACGAAAGTTTTCTATAAAAGAGAAACTTGATGAAAGTTTTCTATAAAAGAAAAACTTGAATAAAGTTTTTTATGAAAAGAAAAGTTAGAGAAAATTTTCTTTAAAAAGGAAACTTAACAAAAGTATTCTTTAAACGGAAATTTTATCGAAATTTTTCTAATTTATCGAATTTTTTTTTTTTTAAATTTCTTTAAAAAATATATAATTTATCGAAAATATTCTAAAGAAAATTTTAATTAATTTGTAGATCCATTTTTAACTCTCAAATAAAATGTCTTCGTTAGAGTCGATAAAAAATTGGGCATTTCTTTCTTTTGGTCAAGGGCTTCATATTCACTAAACGATTGAAATTCATAGGCGACTTTACGATTAACAGCCGTTAAAAGGCGTAACAATTCAGCACCCTTTACGGAGACAGCTTCATTGGTGGCTGCATCATTTAGCACCGAACACAAACTCTGTATAAACCATGAACCATTTTCGACATTACGGAAAGAGCTATATTCTTAAGATATAAAAAAATAAAATAAATTCTGCTTTTTACATTTTTAACTTACTTTCAAACGTTGAAAACATTATTAAAATATCGGCTGTATTTGGTATAACATATCTAAATTTGGGTGGTATATCTGCAGCTTTTACTCTTGGCTCTATAAATGCTTGCTGTACTCCTGAATAAATTACATGTTTGTCTAGATTTTGACCACGACAGGCCTGTAAAGAGAAAGATTTGTTCGTACCAAACTTCAGATTGTTTTCGATTTGAATTCTCACCTGTATGAAAAACAATTTCGGTTTATTTATCAAAGATCTACATTTTTCTCCCAAAAATGAATTCCACAAACGTTCCACAGGATATGAGATATCGCGAGCATATATTCTCCCTTCACTGCCATGAGACATAACAGTTACTACAAGACAATCATTATTGCTATGATCTTCTTGAGCAGCTAAAAAAGAGAAAGATAAATATTTTTCAGATCTAGATGTTTGTCAAATGTATGTCAGTTATGTTAAATTGACTCGATTCACCTATGAGTGAAAAACACTCAACAAATAGTATTTTTAAATCTATATTCATATAATATTGATTAAATAACTGACCACAGTAACCGCAATGTATTACATATACTATATGTATACATGTATAGTTCAGAATACTATATAAATATTAATACATCATTATAAAAGTATGCATTCAAGATCATTTATAAATTTGCACTCACTTTTTGCCAAAACATCATTTAATTCTCTCCATGTCAAATCATTAAAGACTCTAACATCAAAACCGTAATTTAAAAGAGTTTGCTCCATAGCATCGCGATCTTTTTCAGTTCCCTCTCTTTGCCGTTCACCAGTTATATATTTATGATTGAAAATGAGCGCAACTCCCGCATGAGGATTATCACTGCGATATTCATCTTCTTTGGTGGGTCGCGAAATTATTCTTTGTTTTTCAAATTGTTTTAAGTTGGTACAGTTGATATCCCGTTCGTTGCGAATATTGTCAGTTTTTTCATATTTATCAGGTTTTCTCTTGAACAGTGACAAATCGGTTTGATCCATTATTTTAAGTATAAATTTCTATTAAATTTGTCTTTTTTGTTGTACAAATTTAATTTATATTTATTTTATATAAATTAATTTATATTATTTACAATTTATAACTATTCTTCATGAACGTATATTAAATACTGCTTTCATAAAGAATAATACATTTTATATGAAACTATATAAAATGTGAATATGAACCAGACATGGAAACTTTAAACATAGTAACTAAACTTTAAGTTATTAGATCAACTGATCTTGTCTAATTTCAAAGACTACGTTTTACTCCAAACTAATATTTTTAACAATATATTTACATTCGTAGATATAATCGCCAAATAGTTTTAAACAGGTCCCCATCGACAGATTTTCCAAAGTTAAATTTTAGTTGAAAAATCGAATATCTTCTATAAAATAAAATTTTTTGGAAAATTCTCTATAAAAAGAAAATTTATGGAAAATTTTCTATAGAAATAATATTTAAAAAAATTCAAGTTTCCATCTCTGGTAAGTATGTGTATTTAATTAATATTAATTAATATATTAAAAACTGAAAATTGTTCATGGTTTATACAGAGTTTGTATTTGTGGCTAAATTAACCTGCAGTCGGGAAAGCCCTTTCTGAAAAGAATACTAGTTCTAGTTCTAGTTCAGTTCTAGTTTAGTTCTAGTTCAGTTCTAGTTCAGTTCTAGTTCAGTTCTAGTTCAGTTCTAGTTCAGTTCTAGTTCAGTTCTAGTTCAGTTCTAGTTCAGTTCTAGTTCAGTTCTAGTTCAGTTCTAGTTCAGTTCTAGTTCAGTTCTAGTTCAGTTCTAGTTTAGTTCTAGTTCAGTTCAAGTTCAGTTCTAGTTCAGTTCTAGTTCAGTTCTAGTTCAGTTCTAGTTCAGTTCTAGTTCAGTTCTAGTTCAGTTCTAGTTCAGTTCTAGTTCAGTTCTAGTTCAGTTCTAGTTCAGTTCTAGTTCAGTTCTATTTCAGTTCTAGTTCAGTTCTAGTTCAGTTCTAATTCAGTTCTAGTTCAGTTCTAGTTTAGTTCTAGTTCTGTTTTTGTTCAGTTCTAGTTCACTTCTAGTTCGGTTCTAGTTCAGTTCTAGTTCAGTTCTAGTCCAGTTCTAGTTTAGTTCTAGTTCAGTTCTAGTTCAGTTCTAGTTCAGTTCTAGTTCAGTTCTAGTTCAGTTCTAGTTCAGTTCTAGTTCAGTTCTAGTTCAGTTCTAGTTCAGTTCTAGTTCAGTTCTAGTTCAGTTCTAGTTCAGTTCTAGTTCAGTTCTAGTTCAGTTCTAGTTCAGTTCTAGTTCAGTTCTAGTTCAGTTCTAGTTCAGTTCTAGTTCAGTTCTAGTTCAGTTCTAGTTCAGTTCTAGTTCAGTTCTAGTTCAGTTCTAGTTCAGTTCTAGTTCAGTTCTAGTTCAGTTCTAGTTCAATTCTAGTTCAGTTCTAGTTCAGTTCTATTTCAGTTCTAGTTCAGTTCTAGTTTAGTTCTAGTTCAGTTCTAGTTCAGTTCTAGTTCAGTTCTAGTTCAATTCTAGTTCAGTTTTAGTTCAGTTCTAGTTCAGAATTAGTGGTGGTGTGTTATAATGTCCAGTGTCATAATGTGTATAGACCTTATGACAACTTATTTTAGCGAAGCCAGTATTCGAAATTCACCAGAGTCTGAAATCAATGCGCCGGGCCGAAGGCCGGCTATTCAGGACACTTTTTAAAAATAATCAAAAATGCAACATACACCAAATTTAGGAACAGTTCTTTTCGGGATATGTGTGTCCCTTTCTTAAATTCTAAACAAATTTTCCAATACATTTCTGTTTTAAAAGTGTCACAATGTCCATGGACATTATGACATTTTAAAAAAGTGACATAATGCCCATGGACATTATGTCGCTTTAAGCGGTCTCTATTAATGGAAATTATAAATGAATAACTTTTCGCAAATATATGTATTCTATAATTTTTTTACCTTATTCCCGTTCATTATCCCCCAAATTTGTATGGAATGACACATCCAATTTATGTCACTAGTTACAATACAAAAGTTATTAAACCATAAAAAATTATAGATAAAACGTAACAATTTATTTTTTATTTTTAAAAAAGTAATAATGCGAATATGTACGAATAATAAATAAACTTTCACACAAACATAAACACCGACCAAATGGTGGGTATTAATTTTATTTGCTTAAATGTAGTTGTATAATTTTGATTTGTTTAATTTTTTATTTTTGTCTAATTATGTGGAAAGAAATTTGATGATTCACTTTCAGAATATGTTTAACTGTTGTTAATACGTTTCACTCGCAGATAAAAGGTTTTCGTGAGGGTCGATAGAAAATTTGGCATTTCTTTCATTTGATTAAGGGCTTCATATTTAGCATTCGATTGATACTCATAGGCCACTTTACGATTGACGGCAGTTAGCAGACGTAACAGTTCAGCGCCCTCTTTAGTAAGAGCTGCACCGGCTGCGGCTTCATTTAGCACCGAACACAAACTCTGTATAAACCATGAACCATTTTCAACATTACGGAAAGAGTAATATTCTTAAATAAAAATAGAAAAGGAAAGAACACACATACGAATTAGACAAAGAAGAGAAGACAAAGAAAATAAATATAAATAGTAAAATCTAAAAAACATAATGTTTTGTTTAACTAAATTCAGTTCAGTTACACTTTAATACGTTTAACCTACTTTCAAATGTGGAATACATAACCAACATATCGGCTGTATTTGGTATCGCATACGTGATTGTGGGTGGCTTCTCTGGCTCTGCATTCACATTGAGTGTACGCGACATGGGCGCAAAGGCATCGTATGTAACGGCCTTTTCTAGATTTTCACCACGACAGGCCTGTTCAATAAAAAATAAAAGTTTATTTTTTAAATATCTAATTTTTAAAGAGCGGAAGTTGTAGTAAATCTTATCCTCTAACAATATTTATACAGATTAGTTATTAAGTCACAAATGATATATAAATGTCGGAATATCTGTAAGTAAAAAATCCTTACCTGTATAAAAAACAATTTCGGTTTATTTATCAACGATCTACAGTTTTCACCCAAAAATGGATTCCATAAACGTTCTACCGGATAGGACATATCACGAGCATATACCTTTCCCTCCATACCGTGGGACATTACAGTCACTATAAGGCAATCATTGTTGCTGTGATCTTCTTGGGCAGCTGCAAGATAGAAAAATATTTTTTATCTTTAATTCATTTGTAATATCTATCTATCTTTCTATCTATCTTTCTATCTATCTATCTATCTATCTATCTATCTATCTATCTATCTATCTATCTATCTATCTATCTATCTATCTATCTATCTATCTATCTATCTATCTATCTATCTATCTATCTATCTATCTATCTATCTATCTATCTATCTATCTATCTATCTATCTATCTATCTATCTATCTATCTATCTATCTATCTATCTATCTATCTATCTATCTATCTATCTATCTATCTATCTATCTATCTATCTATCTATCTATCTATCTATCTATCTATCTATCTATCTATCTATCTATCTATCTATATATCTATCTATCTATCTATCTATCTATCTATCTATCTATCTATCTATCTATCTATGTATCTAATTTACAAAAATTGATTAAAACTGAGAATTCTGCATTTCCATTGTACAATTACGCTATAAATAAACGATATATATCCAAATTTTCAACGAAAATCGAATTGCAGTTCCAAGGCTTTGAAAATCAAACAAACTAACATGTTAGAGACTCTTCAAATATGTTTCGAAAAGAATTTTTAAAATCATTGCAATGATTTTCACACAATTGAGGAACTTGAACATGTAAAAATATACATACTTTTTAAAGTTCTGTTTTAAGTCCATTAATAATAATAATTTTACCACATCAACCGCACTAAGTAGTATACAATTAATAATAGTTTAATATGTATGTATTTTTTGTAAATTTAAGTGCATTTAATCATAAATTAACTAATATATCATAAATAGCTTAATTTTTGTCACTCACTGTAATATGATATGAATAAAGTTTATCGGCTGATTCGAACACCGTTTTTTGTTCAAACTAATACTCATATAGATAACACAACTTTGTTAGCAAATATTTGTTGTTGATTTCTTTAGTTCTTTCTACTGATTTCAATAACACAATAATTACAATTTTTTTCCATATCGATATAAATTTCAAAAAAAAAAACTTTGTGAAATTGCTGCACTCACTCACTTTTCTTTAAAACATCACTTATTTCAGCAAATGTCAAATCATTGAACACTCTCACATCATAGCCGTAATTCAAGAGAGTATGTTCTACAGCATCACGATCTTGTTCGGTGCCCACTCTTTGCTTTTGACCCTTGACATCTTTGTGATTGAAAATGAGTGCAATACCCGCCTGGGGATTATCGCAATTGTAAACATCTTCATCGGTGGGTCGTGAAAAGATAACTTTTTTCTCTACTGGTTCTTTAGTTGTGCTAGAGGTGTTAGTGGTGGTGGTGCAGGTGGCATCGGCTTTGTCATGTTTATCTTTTTTACTTTTGAATAATGATAAATCGGTTTCGTCCATTATTTTATTATTTTTATATTGAATTAATCGTCGATGGTATTGTTTTTCGTTTTACAGTAAACAAGTTACTAAATTTGTATTCAGTAGTTGGTAAATTAGATGTTTTTCTTCGAATATTTTATTTGTAGCTCTAAAATACATGTTTCTTATCTTATCGTCGTTGACTGAAAAGCTTTGATAGTAAATTTTTTTAAGGTTTGTCTTTGAATTTTTGCTCAATATAGAGTTTTTGAGAGAAATCGTTTAAATAAATAATGCAAATAAAGGGGGAGACCGTATGAATAAATATTGTTTAAGAAAAAAAATTATATGAGAAATGTTTAACAAATGTTATTATTTTATTTATCTTTGGCAAATATCTATTTTAAATCATATTTAAAGGGTGTTTTAAAAATCGTGAACGTTTTGAATTTGACAACAATTTTGGTTTATTTATTAACGATTTAGTTAGTTGTCATTCAAAAATAGGTTCCACAAACTATTAATAGGAAGGCACTTACATATCACGAGCATATTTTTTGACTCACAGAGACATTACAGCCACTATAAAGCAAACATTATTGCTGTGATTTTCATGGATAAAAAAAAATTATACTTGGCCCAATTATGGACCTAACACTACAGGATTTGATAGCGATTAGAAAAAATCATGTTTGTTGAATTTCATCTCAATATTTATCTTCATTTGTAAAGGATTTAGTTAAATAAACAGGTTTTCTGTTCAGGGTTCAATAATGTACCGATCCTCATGGAAATAAGTAGGGAAATGTTGGTTCATATAAAACTTGTCCATGTTTTGAAACTGTTATTGAAAGTTGTTAATAAAAATATTAGTTTGTTTACTAGAATATTACCTTTATAACTTTTATAGATTTTATTTATTAAATTAACACCCTTTTCCTTAATGACTAGTTAAATTTTATTTAAAGATTTCGTGGAAAAATTATTTTAACCCATAGAATTCTATAAAAATAAACGGTAGCCAAACTTGGGCTAAAAAATTTTTAATTTTATTTATTAATAAATTTTATGTTAAAATAATGGTACTTTTTTCATAACATTAAACTACAGATAGTCTTTAAAAGAATATTTTAAAACAATAAACTTTTTCTTACAATTTCTTTTTTACTTTTACCGTTACCTATGTACCTGTTACTTACCCATTGTATGTCTGTATTTTTAAAGCTTAAGTTTAAGCATACATACTCGTTTGTTCCATATGCAAATTATTTTTAAAGACTATAAAGCACTTTATATATACATATTTTTTTTTCTCTACTTACATACATATGTATATGTAAATAGTTATAAAGATTAAACTAAATTAATTGCCTTAAATATTTTAGAAGAGTAAAACAACCTACCATTTAAATATTTATAATAAAATCACTCATTGAAACACATAAAAATAATTAAAATATCGTTTTAAATGTGTTTTACTTTTAAATTTAGCAAAAAAACATTTAAAACATAAAAACGCTTATATGCTTTAGTAAGCTAATAAAAATGGAGAGTATGATATGGTAACCCTAATAAAAATAACGGTTTCAATGTTTACATTGATGATAGATAGCACTTTGCTAGAAATGGTCAGAGATGTGCAAAAAATGCAAAACAAATGTGTCAATTATTTTAAATAAGTTTTTGTAGTCCTTGGCATTTAAAATCTTTTAAAAGTTTTTATACCAATGCTCTTCTTTATTTAAGTAGGTACTTTAAATGGTATTAAATTGTATGTATATGGCTATATATTATTAGTGAAGGACATCAAATTTAACCGTAAACTAGAATGTTAAAAACACTTTCAATTGTTTAAGTAGTTTTTTTAAGAAACCTTTCAAATATGTTTATTTTAACATATGTTTCTTTAAAAATTGTAAATAAAAAGTTTAACAAAAAACTTCTTATGAAAACTAGACTAAACTTGAAAAACTTATATTGAATAAAAAAAGATCTAAAAAGAACATTGCAATCGTGACCTTGTATACATGAGTAATAAATAAAATAAAAGTGTATATTCCATATGATTTCTTTGCGTGAGTTGTTTTATAAAATTACCGCACCCATAACGAGTGAAAACCACTAAAAGTCGATTTTTTTTTAATGTTGGTGGTTTTGGCTAAAAAACTTCTTTCTTTTTTTCGATTTACTAATGCTATATTTGATATTTATTTATATATTTGATTTTTATTTATGGTTATTTCCTTCCTTTATGGAAATATGCCAAAAAAAATTTAAATGTTAATGTACAAAGTTTTCGCTTACTTGTCATTTATGTTTTTTTATAAAGTAACGGTAAATAGTTGAACTATCGATAACACGTAAACAAAGTAATTGTCAAAATACAGGGTTGTTTTATTAAGTAGTTTGTATATGTTATGTTTTTTGTGTGTGAAAACTATTGAAAGTGACTAGTCAAAAGATTTAAACATTATTTTTCATTACTACTTCAATGTTTAATGAAAACTTTCTTTATTTTATTACAAATTTATTAACAACTTAATTAATTAAAAAAAAATTATTGCATATTTTTTATTTAATAAATAATATCTTTCTAGAGAATATTTTAAAATGCTTAAGTAATCAGGAAAGTTTTTGTTAAATATTGTCAAGATTGGAATCAGTTTTAAAAAGAAAAGTAGATTGTAAATATTATTTGATACAATTTTTGGCAGAACACTTTCATCTATCAAGGATTAATATTTGATTTAAATCTAATCTAAATACTCGTTTAGTTATTTGATATCGTTCAAAATCTCAATAAAATTCGATATAAGAACTGAACTAGAACTAAACTTGAATTGAATTAGAACTTAACCAGAACAGAACTGGAAGTGAACTACATAAAACTTAACTAGAACTGAACTAGAATTGAAATAGAACTGAACTAGAACTGAACTAGAACTGAACTAAAACTGAACTAGAACTGAACTAGAACTGAACTAGAACTGAACTAGAACTGAACTAGAACTGAACTAGAACTGAACTAGAACTGAACTAGAACTGAACTAGAACTGAACTAGAACTGAACTAGAACTGAACTAGAACTGAACTAGAACTGAACTAGAACTAAACTAGAACTGAACTAGAACTGAACTAGAACTGAACTAGAACTGAACTAGAACTGAACTAGAACTGAACTAGAACTGAACTAGAACTGAACTAGAACTGAACTAGAACTGAACTAGAACTGAACTAGAACTGAACTAGAACTGAACTAGAACTGAACTAGAACTGAACTAGAACTGAACTAGAACTGAACTAGAACTGAACTAGAACTGAACTGGAACTGAACAAGAACTGAACTAGAACTGAATTAGAACTTAACAAACAGTTCGATATAGTAATTCAATTTTAAGAACTTCGTTATTTAT